GCAGAAGGACTCATTCCCCTTTTGGGCTTGCAGATGCCCTGGGGAGGATGGGCAGTGAGGAGGCTGCAGAGCATCACCTGGCACTGGGATCATGGCTTTGCACCTCCTGCAAATGGCCTTCCTATGTTGAAAACTATGATCTGAAGAGGGTGGAATTTCACCCCCTTCCCTTGCAGTAACTCAGCAGTTGACACTTCGGCAACATTTCGTGTGTGATTTAGGACAAAAATTGCATTCTTTGACCCTTCTTTATTGCACTCTTCAATTACTGCTCAGAAACACTGGGGGAAAAAGGTCCAACTGTGCTGTAATTTAACATGTTGCAGTGTATTGTTAGAATATTTAGCACTTACAGTTCTGGAGCCACGGTCCAAAGTAAAAATACAGTTATCAAGAACAGACGGATTTCAGTCATCCCAAATTTCTAGAGAAATTCTTTCTAAGGAGGAGAGGAGGGAGACACGTCCTGCCATCCGCTGGGAAATCTGGACTTCAGACTGTCTCAACCACCTCATGTCTGAGCCTCTTAAGCAGATGAGATTTCTCTAAGGTGATTCCCAAGGAGGGAAGAGTGGAATCCAGAGATAAGCTGTACAGAGCACGATGATAGGTGAGGTCCCAGGCCCACCACTGCTCTGCTGGAAGATGTCCATGGAGCTGGGGTGTGCCTGAATTTAGGTGCTGTAGGCTTGAAGCAAGAAGGACATTATGTTGCTGTCCAGGACTGACTTGGATATCACCATTTTCATTCTGGAAGGAGCTGGCTTTGTCCTTTTCCACAGCTCCTTCATCTGTGTTTCTGCTCAGACCAGGTTTATACCAGGTCAGCACTTTGCTTTGTGAGGCTGCAGCTTTGCTGAGCCCTAAAGATGGAATTACAGCACTGGCAAACTCTTGACAAGGGGAAATTCTTCCTTGCTTAGCCTCTAGTCTCTATTTTAACCTCCCACTCGCCCCACATCCACCAGCCCCAGAGCTGAACGAGAGAATAGGAACACATATGAACTGGTGCTCAGCATCCTTCTGTCATGTTCTTTTTTATTTTCTTGTTGAATGAGGGCTAAAATTAGCACAGCAGGAGGTGAGGGCTGGAACATTTCAGCTAAAACTGTCATAGTATTGAAAAGCCATAGTTTTGCTGATTATTTCTCAGCTTTCTTACTGTGAACAGCCTTGCCTGGCCTTGTGTTTTGACAGATGAATGCAAGCAAAGTTGTCACAGAATAAAATGATCTGCCAGGCTTTTCAGGTCACTCTCCAGATGATTTTAATATTTGACCTGGAAAGGCACATCCAGCTGGAGGTCCAGGCAGCTCAGTGTGTCACAGCCATGGCCAGGGGAAATCACACAGGGAGAGGTGTGAAGTGGACATTGTGGAGGATTTCCCAGACCCTCACTGCACCCTGCAAATGACACAAGAGCCCACCAGCACTGCCCAGCCCACATCACGGGCACATCTCCACAGACAGACTCTGGCTTTGCTGGATCATTTTCATAGAACAACAGAACAGTTTAAAAAACTCATCCTGTTCAACCCCCTGTAATGGGCAGGGACAATTTTCATTATCCCAGGTGGCTCCAAGACCCGTCCAGCCTGACCTGGGACACTGCCAGGGATCCAGGGGCAGCCACAGCTGCTCTGGGCACCCTGTGCCAGGGCCTGCCCACCCTCCCAGCCAGCAATTCCCAATTCCCAATCTCCCATCTGTGCCTGCCCTCTGGCAGTGGGAGCCATTCCCTGTGTGCTGTCCCTGCCTGCCTTGTCCCCAGTCCCTGTGCAGCTCTCCTGGAGCCCCTTGAGGCCCTGGCAGGGGCTCTGAGCTCTCCCTGGAGCTTCTCTTGTGCAGGGGAACAGCCCCAGCTCTGCCAGGCTGGCTCCAGAGCAGAGGGGCTCCAGCCCTTGGAGTATTTTTGTGACCTGATGTATTTTGGAAAGCTGCTGTGAAGAGTTTATTCAGGGGTACAGTACTTTCATCCTTTGCTTTCAGCTTTCAGGATGAGCAAACTTATGTACCTTATGAGTGGAAGTCCTGGAAAACAGAAAGGTTAAATGATTTGGTCACATCTCATGGACTAATGAGCAGGGACAAAAATCAAATCTCAATTCAAGGAACAAAGACATCTATGCTACAATTTGGTTTCAGGGCCTTAACCATCAAGACACAGTATGCACCTCATGGAACAAGGTGAAAACACACAAGAGCACCTCTGCAATGCAGATTTCTGTGGTTGTCCATGTGGCTCAGTTGGTGTCATGCCTCAGGTTCAAAGTTATCATCTCATCCTTTCTGTCTTAAAACCCAGCAGCCCAGCTTGGAGGTGGGAGAAGCACAAGTGATATATTCCCTATCTCTTGGTTAATCCAGAGGAAAACCCACCCAGCTGTTCCTGCCCCATTCCTAGAAGTGATCCAGGCCAGGTTGGATGGGCTTGGAGCAATCTCGGATAATAAAAGGTGTCCCTACCCATGGCAGAGTGTTGGAACTAGTTTCAGGTCCCCTGCAAACCAAATAATTTCATGGGTTTTTTTCTGATTTTTGTGATTCTTAGACAGCTAGCTGCAACCCCAACTCGACCCTGCACCTGGTCACATACCTAGATTTGGAGTGATCTTTCCAACCCAGGTCCTGCTGCCCACAGAGACCTGCTCACACAGATCAGTGCTACAAAACTCAAGAGCAGTAACCAAAGGGTTTTGTGAGGCACTTATTCATCCTTCAGTGCCTTTGAAGGCGATCCTGGAACTTCTGATGGATGCCATCACTGCCAGCTTGGCCCACTGCACCACGCCGGTATCGTGTGATTTTTGGGTGGCTCACATTTGGTGGCTCAGAACAGAAATGAGCCAGATTGTAGCACAGGTGAGATTGCTTCAACTCTTGTCCTCCCAGGCGTGTCTTAGTGCACATCAGGTGACACAGGATGGGTGCATCCATGCTGCCTCAGCTTTCCATGCTGACTCCCACCTGAAGGGTGAGGAGAGAGCCTGGAAACTGAAACTCGCCCACGATCAAAACCCCTTTTGGAGCTGGTTCATGTGCCGTGGCTCCAGCTGAAGGCACGGTCCATTTGGAAACACCCAAATGCTGTGTGTCAGTAAATCCCTCTGGGGAGGGCACATCTGTGCTGGACAGAAGGCACAGCACCGAGCTGATGCTCACTGACATGCTGGGATGCCCACCCACCCCTTGGAGGACAGAAGTCACATTCCTGGGATCCACGCACTTCAGTAGTCCATCTGGACATTCTTATTGTCCATGTTCTTCAGTCTCCAGGACTCCAGTGGTTTCCACTCAACATCCTGCTCCACAGAAGGCAGGAACAATTTATAGGGACTTTCCCCTGGCAGAGCACATGTGCAAGGAATGTGGAGCAGGGAATGCCTAAAGGCAGGGTGAGGGGGGCAAAAGGAGCAGCCACCTTTATTTCCACAGGCATGGGAGATGTGAAGGGTAGGATATAGCCAAGGAAAACCCAAGAACTGTCTTCCTCCTGGTATTTCCCTCCTCAGCTGCTGGCACAGGCTGCCTGTGGCCCAGCAAAGAGCACAAGCTTGGCCCAGTATTTGTGAGACAGGGACAGGGTCAAACAGGAGCTGTGTCCCCAGCACTGGGGTTCTTTCAGGCTGGAATCAGGAGAAATAGGAACAGCAAAAGCAACCCACTGGATTTAGGGCAGCCAGTCCCTTCAGCCTTGGAGGGCTGATGGGGTGCATCCAAAATGGGCAGCTGAGAGCTGTGGGCACCAAACCAGGCCAGCGAAGCCCAAGGCTCAGGATGATCCCAGCCCAGATGTTACCCACCCAGGAGAGGCCCCACTCAGGGCTGGGGTGGGTCCTGTGGGTGCTCCCACCACTGACCCCACGCACACCCACTCAGAGCAGCACCTCTCCAGTCTCCCTCATCTACACCACCAAAAAAGCCACTTGGCACAGTTTGGGATCAAGTGTACATTTTTATTTTTTAATGGAACATAGACTCCTTTAGAAAAAGAAACATTCAGCTGGATGATAACACCCATAGAAAAAACACCAATCTTGTGTTCTCTTTTTTTTTTTCTTTTAATTTGGCATTTGTTATCTGCATTTATATTAAAGCAAAGTGCATCTTTCTTACTTTTTTCTCGTTTATACACATTGCACAATACATAAATAATGATGCTTATAAAACGTCTTTATATTTACAAGTAATAATATATTTATATATAACATAAAATACATTTTTTTTCTTTAATAAATCTCAGGTTTTTTTAAGGAGTCCTTTCTTTTGTGTGGGTGTTTTTCCAAAGCACTACAATGCTAAAGTTCCAAGAAGAATGCTCTCTTGTTCAATTAAACCTTTATATTTAGAAAAATAGCTTATGTTAAGGTCTAAACATGCTCATTGAGCTAAGAACAGTGTAAAAGTATCATACTCGTGTATGAATTCAAGAAGAAATGAAAGCACAACTGCATTTCCAGATAAGATGGTACCTGGATAACCTGATCTAAGCAGGTTACGACACACCGACTGTTGTGAACACTTTTTCTCTTGTTTTTTCCCACTTGTTTTTCTTTAGTTTTCATTAATTTTTTTTTTTTTTTTTTTTTTTTTTTTTTACTTTTTTAATTTTTTTTTTTTTTTTTTTTTTTCAAACGATCAAACACGGGCCATGCCCGGAGTCCCTCCACTGTTGTTTTCTCCCTCTTACATCAATCCACGATCATAAAAAACATAGAAAAAGCAGTGGAACAACAAACACAGTGACAAGACATGAACCCAGCAACAAGAGAAACACAAAAGGTCGGTAAAAGACCTGTCTGGGAAGGTTTTGCACCATCCTTCGGCGGCAACGCGGGGTTCAGCACTGCTGGGGAAGGGGTCTCGGTGTCACCGTCACTGGGAAGGTGGTGCGTACAAAAATACAGTCATCTCCTTGTGTTGTCCAAGGGAAGGAGCTGTAACATAGAGCTAGTGGCTTTCAAATCCATCGATCCCCATTGAATAATCCTTTTTGAGAGGCGTGAAGTAATTATCTCATGTGATCTATCCCCACTGCACCCTTCTCTCGCCCTTCTGAGAGTTATTGGTCATTCACACTTTTAAAAAATACATATATTTATCAAAATACCCCAAAGGCAAAAACAACAAAAAAAACCCACAAACAAACAAACAACAACAACAACAAAAAATATCTTTCATAAGCTATTTCTCAAAACGAAGAAGGGTGAACAAAACAAAACAAAACAAAAAAAAAAAAAAAACAAAAAAAAAAAAAAAAGTCTGCATGAAAAGCAAGCACTCAGAAGGAAGTAATAGCAGCAAAGTAGTATAGAAGTCATGAGTTCACTCTGTCTCGAGTCATCGGTTGTTGAAAATGACCTCCAACCAGCAGGGGCAACTGCTGATGAACTGTCTCGTGTAGCACTGGCCCCAGCCTTTCACAAAGCTGATCTGCACGGTAAATCCTGTCCATGGCTGCTGCGTGAACTCGTGGTCGTTGGGTCTCTGCAAGGTGTACGCCTTCTCGTAGTCAAAAGCCTTGATGGAAAACCCTGGAAACACTTTGTGGACCAGCAACGTCCTGGAGTCGGGGTTGTCCAGTGTGGCCGACTTGATGAAGATGGGGTAACTGCTGCGGTTGTACACCCACACGCCGTCCACTTCCTTGGTGAGCTGGATGCCGTAGCCGATCTTGCTGCGCACCTTCTGCACCAGCTGGCTTTTGTTGTCTGAGTTGAGCTGTCCGAGGCAGAAACCATTCCCCTGAGGTAGATCATAGAAGATATCCAGGGAGGGCTCTTGGACAGAGTACAGCCGACCCACACGTGTCTTCTCTTCCCAGTATGCCACCACACACCAGTGTGACCTATCCCCTGGCTCCTGAAGAACTTGAGAATCTGCAGAACAACAGGGGGGGAAAAAAAGGAGAGATTTAGCAACAAGAGAATCAATACAAACCAAAACCGACACAGAACCGGCAGAACCTTGCCTGCCCTCATCTACACAATCCTCTCCACGAATACATCAATGCCCACAGGGCATCCACTATTTAAAAAAAAAAATATTTCCAGGTTTGGGGCACTCCTGTGTCATTTCAGTGCCTAGTTTTGGTTAGATTTACAGGTCCTGAATGACGTAGTCAGTGACAATGGCACAGCCACCCTCATCCAAACCAACTCCAGGACCGCCTCCAGTGCCAACAGGAGAGGTTTGGTTGCTTGTGCAACCAAACACCTGAACCCCCTGATTTGCACCTCCTGAATGATGGACTTAGTTCCATAAATGACAATGTAATGTGCACAGAAAAAAAATTTAAAAATTAGATGCTGCTAGGAAAATGATATTGAAAGTCAGCCCATGGAACTAGAGGGGACGAGAACTTGACTGCCCTGGTGTGTGGGGCTTTTCCCTGCCTGCAGGGCCTGGGTGATGGACAGTATGAGATGCCACCCTAACCTATGGAGAACACCAAAAGACAGAGGGAACCAAAAAAATCTCACAAAGGTTAACAAAAAACAGCCTAAAAACTTGCAAAAAAAAAAGTAGGAATTCATTCGTGCGGCCCTTCTCTCAACTCCCTTTCCCATAATTACCCCATGCAGCATAGCAATGATGTAGGAGGAAAAAGCAAGGCAGAAGGAGGGGTAAAAATGTGAGAAAGCCCCTTTTCCTGATGGAGGATCCCAAGCAGCTTGGCACTGGCTTGGCGGGTAATTCCTTCCAGCCTCAGTAGGCATGTTAAGACCTGGGAACTATTCATCTCTACAATAGTATTTAAAAAAAAAATCAAGTTGGGAATGCAAGTTAGTGAGCACTACCAAAATAATCCCCTGAACTATGAGAGAAACTACTGGAGCTTGGATGGTGGGTGACCCAGCAACCAAAAACTCTTCCTGCAACCCCCCCCAACCCCTCCCTCCCCAGGGCAACATGCTGGCTGCCTGCTCTCTCTGTTTTTTGCTATTGATAAACCCGTTTTCCCCAGTTTTTTTTCCCATCTCATTCAAGCCTTGCGCTGTGCTTTTAAGAGAGGAGAGAAAA